TTCCACCTGCGAGAATCAGGATTCCAAAATGATCGGGCTTCAGAGCTTGAGGGTTTAGGGTTTGGGGTTTAGGGCTTTAGGGCTTTAGGGCTTTAGGGCTTTAGGGCTTTAGGGGTTTAGGGTTTTAGGCATTTAGGGTTTTGGGTTTCAGGGTTTAAGGTTTAGGGTTTAGAGGGTTTCCAGGCTTACGGTTGTGGTTTGGAGGTTTCACACGTTTCTGCCCCACGGCCTCCCAACCTGCACCGAGTATCGAAGTTGAACATTTAATGTGCTTTTGGGGTTTAGGGCTTTAAGGCTCGAAATTCTTTGGGGTTCCTGGTTTTCCGGTTTAGGAGTTTTTCAAGCTTAGAGGGGCTTGAAGATTGAACACATTAAACAGTCAAAGAAATGAATGTCGATCCGCAATGCTGCAACCCTAATAGCTGTCTGGATAAATCTGTGGCCCCTATATACTTATACCCCGATGTGCCCGCGTCCCCACACTAACTTACTAGTCCCTGAACTAAAGCTCAAAAACAACAAAGTAACGATTGGCAAATTTCACAGCATGTGCTTCGGCCTACACCCTAAACCCTAAACACTAAACCCCAAACCCTAAACCCTAAACCTCATGCAAGTTGTTCGAGGGTTTAATCTAGACGTCTTTAATAGCCACGAACGGTGGTGCTGCAGGATTGTCTATACCATCTTGTAGTGTTTAAGCTTTAGGGTTTAGGGTTTAAGGTTTAGGGCTTAGGGTTTAAGGTTTAGGGTTTAGGGCTTAGGTCTATAGGGTTTAGGGTTTAGGGCTTAGGGTTGAAGGTTGAGGGTTTAGGGCTTAGGGTGTATACGGTTTAGGGTTTAGGGCTTAGGGCTTAGGGCTTAGGGCTTAGGGCTCAGGGCTTAGGGTTAAAGGTTTAGGCTTAGGGCTTAGGGTTTAGTGCTTAGGGCTTAGGGCTTTGGGTTTAGGGTTTAGAGCTTAGGGCTTAAGGCTTTGGGCTTAGGGCTTAGGGTTTAGGGTTTAAGGTTCTATAGCATGGGGTTGGGTGGGAGTGACTCTACTTCCTAAGCTTTGAAGCACCGCAACATGTGACCTGGAACTATTTGCAAAGTGTTCCCACAGCTACACTGCAAAGCAAGATTTAAAGTTGCGGGCTTACGTTGTTGTTGGGGTGAAGGATTCAAGATTTCGGTGCAATGGCTTTGGCACCCTCGGGTCTGGCCTACGTGGAGAATCGAGATGGGCAACAACATCGCGAAGGGCTTCCCGCACTCGGCCAAGGCCCGCAGAACACGCTCCTGTCTGCGGTTTAGGGTTTAGGGTTTAGGGTTTTAGGGCTTATGGTTTAGGGTTTACCATGGAGAGTGCAGCGTGCAGGGCACATCGAGATTGGAAGTGGAAAGTTGGATGATGCTGTGCTGGATTCTCCTGTCGCGCCAGTACCCTCAGTGTACTCTCACAATCATGGATGTACTGAAGCACGCTGCACCGCAACACACGATATTTACCTCGAAGAGCGCACAGTTGTTTGCCCACGGTGCCACACAGCGTAGGTGCTGCCCCCGCCATCGCTCCCACTGTTCTCTTTATTGGTGACATTACCATGACGGATGGGGACATGCCTTTCTGTCATCTTGGTCGATTTGCCCATCATCTTCATGGTCAAGAGTGGTGTCATGATGCGGGGTATGGAGTCTACTGCGGCAAAAAATTCTTCAAAATTTCAAGTATCATCCATCTGAACGCCAACGTTGCAACTATCGGTACATTCTAGCACAGAATGGCAGTGACATCGCTTGTCATCTTTCGTCTTTCCTCCGCAGCATCGGCTACCATTAAGATGCAGGTGGTCGTCCATCCAGAATGGTTAT